CTCTGTGATTCATAAATAAAAAAAGAATGATTTCAATTAATAAAGATATGGTTAGCAGATTTGGAAAGTATTCCAGTGTTTATGTAGTACTTAATGCATATTAATAAAATTTTAAGAGGTTTTTTTTTTTTGGTTTAATGTTCTAGTCTTCATTTAAGTGACTATGTGATTATGTCTTTTATTTGAAAAAAATGTACATGCAGTAAGTGAAATACATTGAAGATGTGTTTCTTCCCATTTCTCCTTCATCCCCTAATAATAGCGATAGAATTTCTGGGTCTGAATGAAAATAAACCTCCTTAATTTGTGTTTAAATGAAATGTCATGAAGTATCATATTGTATATGTTTAGATTTAGTATGCCGTATACTTTCAACTCTATAATCTCTCTCTACTTCTCAAAAGAGGATTGGATTGGTGTCTGGATGAAGGCCCATCAGTGTGTCCAGAGATGTGGTCTCATTCATTAAGTATCCACAGCCAGTCCATATCTTAAAGAATCTGTGACTTCTGAAGACATCATCCCAGAATTGGCCAATTATAGAAAAGAGAAATTTAGATTGTTGGATATTTTAAAGAAATGTGATAAAAAAATCATCTAACAAACTGATCAAATCAGTGTAAGGTATGTTTTGGCTAAGAAATTTATCGAAGTCCGAAGACAATGCTTAACTTTGGGGAATGCAGTAGGTATGTTCCTGTCTTCACCTAGTCACAAAAGCACTAGTGAAGCCAATCAGAAAACTGAACTTATTCCTTATTTTGAAAATTTAGTGGATTAGGTGATGAAGGATATTTTTAATTTTATTGAAAGCACCTGGTGCAATTTCAGAAGTTAATTGAGCAGTCTTACTTCTCCAATCTGAATTTGTACTTACTGTACATATACTGTAGATAGGAAGGCTTTTGGAATTCTGAATGATAGAGGCCTGTAGGTATATGTATTTCTTTAGTTGTGAAATAAGCTTTCCATTACCGATGAATATCTTTGAAATTACTTTTCCATGTTGAAATCCAAACCTTATTCATAAAGTTGTGATTCAGATAGAATGAACAGATGAAGAGTTGTTAAGCATTACAGAAATACAAGTAAGTAAGGAGTTTTATGTTTGGTAAGATTAACACAATCTATTAATTTCACTGATTAGCAGGCATATTTTATAATAGAAACAGCAGCCCCAATGCTAAATTTAAAACCACCAAATTATCCTCTTTAGTTACTTCTAATTTTCTTACTATCTTCATAGTTAAGTATCTTTAGTATCTTATTTTCAGAGCAGAAATCAGTTATTTCTGATGGTTATTTCACCGGGTATCACCTCTGTTTTCTGCAGCAGATATTAAAAAAAATCCTCCTTCAAAGTATCAATGAAATGGTCGCTTCTTCCAGGTACTTTCCGCCAACTATTATTATAAAGCAGTGGGTAAATTAGAAATCTAATAAATTTTATTGTTCTGTTTAATTCAAATGGAGACATCCCAAAATTTCTAGTGGTACCTATGAGAAAGATCTTCTGTAGGTCTGGAACATGCAGTCAGGCTCCAGATTAAATTCTGGCAGATTTGGCAAGTTACTAACTACCAAATTAATTAGAAAGTGTTTTGATGAAGAGAGGCAGGGAGTAGAAAAAATTACAATTTGTTCCTCACGCGCCTGTTCCATAGCCTTGCTCTTGGCATATTCCTCATTGAGGGATATGCCCTGTTCTTGGCATATTCCTCAGGGGCACACAGCCTCTGCCTCACCTCTAGCATGACCTGTTATTGCTGACAGACTTCAAACAATCATTCTGCTCTTAGCAATAGTGACAGTCAGTGAGACACAAAAAAATGGGTCATTTTACAGTTCCCGTGCAGATCTAGTTTCCAACAACTCTGTTGTTAAAGAAAAAGTTACTAAAGAGGATACCTCCTGAGGGTACTTTAATTGCTAAGTACTGCCACACTTAAGGCAGGGAAAATTTTGCCTCATCTCTTACCCCTCCTTTTGAAGA